CAGACAAACAGGGCAATGACACACTGATTCAGAAACCAATTAGTTACAATAAGGGCAGTTTCTAAACAACGACAGCCTTATTGGAGTTTACTCTTACTTTGAAACGTGTATACCAATAGCTTGCCGACAAAAACCTATGTAAGCACCACCAACCATTTCCTCAGCTGATCTAGGTAATTTTCATTAATTTTAATTTATTTAATTTTTAACCACTGATATTTTACATCCAAGATTCCAAGGTTAATAGTTCTCTGATACATTGTCAATTCGGATACATACATTGCTTTCCATTTCCAAGGGAATGAGGGCTACTAAAGGCAACATTTTACTCATTTTAAATGCAATGAAAGGAGCATTTGAGTGGCTGACAAATCCTAGACCTACGATTAAAATTTTACCTAAATTTAAATAACTGCTAACTTCATGAAAATCAATTTGCAATTTCAAACAATAAATTTCAATGAGAAGAATCACAAAATTACTCATCGTTTTCTACATTAAGTGAACAAGAAAAAAATTATTTTTGGTTTTCACCATCACATCGGAACGTACTGATTGCTCGGGGATTGGAAACATTGAATTTGCTAAAAAGCAACCTGAATGCAAAACTCATTCTCAGAAATCAATTTAAGTTTTCAAAATTAAGTCACTTAAAAGCCACTGATTAGAAAAAGCATCATTGCTAAATTTGTTTTTGCGGTTAAAATTGGGGTCCTCTGACAAAAGGTTTGAGTGATTTACACTACACCTTCATTTTTCGAGAACTGATAGAAATGTTTAGGTGAAGCAATGGGAACTTTTCCAAACTTTCTTAGGAACATTTCCAGCTGCAAGTGAAGAAACTTACATGAGCTGTTTACAGGAAAAAGATAGTATTGCATTTCTGCCATGCTAAGGATAAACACCGTATGAACATTCGTATGTTGCCAAATTTCCTCTGATAAAAACTTATTATAGGAGATAGTTATGCATACTTGGTAATGAAATTTTCAGATATTTTAGATTTAATTGAGAACAAAATCGTCTAAAAAATAGGGAGGAAAAAATTCACAAATTCTTCAATAAATGTTTATTTTACAAGGTCTGTTCAATAAGAAACCGGATTTGGTGATAACTAGCCCACCGTGTGTCTGAATTGGGTTTTCTTAGACTTTCCTAATAGCTGATAATACAGTTAAGAGCGCTACATTCACAAATTTGAAAAATTTTAATTAGGCGTGTTGGTACAAGGCTTGAAGTAAGGCAACCTCATTGGTGTTCTGCGATTTTCATGTTTGACCAAACTTGTCGCAATTTTTTTGGTCTTGCACTACCAGTTTCAACCCACACAGATGATTGGAGTTTCGTCTCCATATCGTGGTCGTAAACCCAAGTTTCACCACTGGAAATTATCCTATCCAAAAATGTAGGATCGTTGTTAGAACGTTCAAGAAGCTCAAGGAAAATTGACACTCGGTTGGATTTTTGTTTGACAGACAATGATCACGGGACAAGTTTAGCTGTGACTCGATGCATGCCTAAATATTCTGTCAAAACTGTATGTACACAGCCTTCAGAAATATCACCGTGTTTAGCAAGCTTGAGAATGATTAAATGACCATTTTCCAGCTCTTTTGCCCGCACTTTCTCCACATGATAAATGTCAGTTGCTGTTGATGGTCAATTCCCGTGCTCCTTATCTTCGACGGACTTTTGACCACTTTTGAACTTTTTAAATCACTCGAAACACTGGGAACAACTCATACAATGATCTTGGTAAAATTTACTTCACATATTTAAAGTTTTAGTGCAGGGGATACCGAGTTTAAAACAAAATTTAATGTTAAATCTTTGCTCTATAAGTGATCGCATCATTAAAATCGCAGATGGCACCAGACTTACTCATATTCAAGGTGACACAGAATGAACACTGATCAAGATAAACAAAATCTGTGAATCTAGCGTTCTTCAATTGTTATCAGCTATCAGGAAAGTCCAAGAAAATCTAATTAGGACGCACAATAGGCTAGTTATTACCAAAATATGGTTTCTTATTGAACAGACCTTGCATCAAAGGAAATTTCGAAATGTATGCAGGCTCATACAGCATTCCATGATATGTACCATGATTCCATTTTCCATGATACTTTTTGCTAAAAGCACCTCAATTGACATTTACACAAAATAAACCACCACAATTTAAAAAATATGTATGTTAAGTAATTACATATACAGGTTACTTGTATGAGACCATGACAAACAGAAATGAGGTTCAAACAAACACATTTTTTCCCACAATTTTTGTTGATCATTCATATTGTGTTGAAAACAGCCAACATTTTTGGCTTTTTTTTAAATGCTGATAAATTGCTTGGAGTTGCATGTTACTGTCAGTTACACCATATAGAGAGCGATTTCATAAGACACTTTTAAGGCTAGAATCGCCGAGAGAACATAGAAAATTTTACTGTGAGTTTTTTTAATAATAAAGAAGGGGAAAAAAAACAGTTGTTTGTACAGAAAATTAATCTTCACCTGCCAAACTAGCAACAATTTTCATTCAATACTGAGAAAACTAAGATTAATTACAGGGAAGGAAATACTTAGGTAAGTCCTTTCACTCAGCTCAGCTGACATACTTATAAGAAAAATAAATATAGTGTAACATTTTAGCAAAGTTATGAAAAAGTTATTGAAGAAGTGAAGTGTAAGTCTGGGGCTAAAATAGGTATTGATTAAAAAATCTACCTTGAAAGCGATTGTAAACAACTTGTTGATGCATAGCATGCATAAAACGAACAAAAATGGATTTACCTCCGATTAGAACAAAGCCTTTAATAAAATGGTAGTAAGTAAATTGAGTGAACTTTCAGGAGGCGCAAATATGATTAATTACATTCTTCTTTTCAAAGGTAGCACAAAATATGTTCATCTCGGCTTGCACATGCCATAAAAAGATCTTTGCATCAAATCTACTTCAACTCATTTCATCTCGCCCTCAACAGTCTAAGGAAACATGGTAACAACGATGACTCGATGGAGCTGTTGATCTGAACAATCAGACGTAACTTTTACGACAGAGAAAGTAAACATAAACTAAGTAAACGATAACTACTCAAAATAAAATTTCTCTTCCAACAGTTACAGAAAGAAAATTAAGGCAAACAAAACATAATAACAAATGGTTAACAAGTTATCTGCTAGCTTCTTACAAGAAAATCAGTTACTTAAATCAAACGAGTTAAGCTCTACGAAAAGTTCCCTGTTGGACAAATGGGATTTGTTGGATGAAAAACCTAACAAAAAGAGAAAAAGTCCAGGCAAAAAAGAGAAAAGGAATCTGCCATACTTTGAGTGTTGCCACTAATGATCAGCTCATCAATAACTGATTGGGTTAAGGTACTTCTGCTTGTGTTTTAATCTCTGTAATTTGGTCGGGAAGACAAGAATTAAGGAATTAGTCGGGTTTCAGCAGGGGTTTTTTTTCATTCAACAACACTGTTTCACTTGAATACTGTCGTCTTAAGGGAGAGCGCCATATGAGCCTTCAGACGTTGTCAAATTTCCTTGGATAAAATATGAATTTTCAGGGAAATCTAGTGACGTTATTCTTCCAATTTTTCACAGACTTTTAGGTACAATCGGATCTTAATTATCTGAAAATTTCAAAAGAAAACATTTCTAATTCTCTTTAAAAATAAACGTTATATTGGAGGCAATTTGGCAACTCTCAAATGTTCATACAGCGTTTTCCCTTAAATCGGCAGGTAAGGCAAGAAAACAAGATAAGAGATAAAGCACTTTTTCAAGGGTTTTCTCTTAAAATTATACATAAACACAGTAGACACAACCTACAGTTCCAAAAGCAATTCCTAGGTGAGACATAGAAATCTTCATTTGACATAGATCAAAAGAGAGATGTATGATGTCATTTACGCACTGCAATGTATTTAACATTAAATGTCCACTCATATTTCTCACTTGAAAAAAATTCTCTGATCCATCCTTGGTACGATCTTTATTAATGCAAAATTTTGGAGAAAAACACATAGCATAGTGCTTCAATTTAGACACTGTCTACTAATTCATTGAGTAAAAGGTGGCTTTAGACAAACGCACTGATTAATGAAAATCACTCAAGCATTGAGAAATTAAAATGAGCCGAGGGGAAAATTGAAAGTTTCGTTAATTTATTAGCTTACTTCGGTATAATTTGAGGGCAACTGGAAAGTTTTCAATGAATAAGTTAAAAAAAGAAATATAAGACCAAAGCTTGCAATTTTTGAAAAATGGAAAAAGTGGGAGCAGGACAGCTTTGGAAGCACTGGTTGAAAAGAAAACGAAAAAAAAAAATTAGGCCTTGAATGAAGAGGATTTTCAAATGTCAGAAATCATGTTTCAATTGTAAAGCGACCAGACTGTTATCAATCATAATCATATTTTTCACTGCAGTGCTGGCGATGAGTATGGAGTGAAAATAACTTGTTTTTTCACACGGCTAAGCATTAGTCATTTTTAACTTTTGAGTGTGTTTGAAAGAGAGAGAGAGACAAATAATTTGAAGTATTTTTCCGCCAAAAAATTGGAGATCATTGGAAAAACATGAAAAAAACATTTGGTCAAAAAGCACTGGCAGCTCATTCCATTTGCACTGAATGATCGCAGAAATGAGTGCCACAATGGTGAGGGCAAGATAAAGTGACCCCGCGGTACTGTGTCCAAGCACTAAAGCAAATGTAAATACAGTTATTAATTAATTACGGTACAAATTGAAATTCAGAGCACCCTAAACATAAAGGCATTTGGGAAAAACTCTTGCTTCAAAGAAATACATCATTTTTAGATGTATTAATAGTTTCTACTAGGACGTGATGTTCTGGTCAACAATTTTTCAAACAATCTGGTCAGCTTTTGACTCGTGGGCATGAAACAGAGATTCCGATATAAATAACTATACTTTGTACAATACCGCAGCAGCGTACCGTGCTTTTGTTTTGGGCATAGCACACAACGACACTGTATCAGAACACTTTAGTTAATAAGAAATCAAGTTGCCCAAAATGGAAAGAGGAGTATATTGCTGATTGGATGAAAACCGCTATGGTAGTCTCGTGGAAAACTGGAAGCTCACTTTTTTCACCCTTTCAAACCTGAAATAGTTTTGATTCATGAATGTCAGTTTATCCAATTTCACAATAAAATCAAAACCAAAGATATAAACAATGGGATATGAAACAGAAAGGGCAAAACACTTACAAGGAGGTTCCTGAATTGTGGAAAAGTGTGGTTGTGTTTGATTAAGAGAGTTTTCTGATTTTTCTGTACAATGGGAGCTCCAGAAAAATATAAGAATAGCACAGATAATGATTCCCTCTAGAATCGGAGAAAATAATAGTACAATACTTTCAAGGTACTAAAAGTCATGTGAGTACCAACACTTTAACCCATTGACTTAATTGGACTAGCTGGACTATCGTCACCATACCGAGCAAGACCTAAATTGGCGGAGACTTTGTGTTTCTGTTAATGTATTTTAAATAAGTTTCCAACAATTAGCATTACTTGTCAAGACGTATACAAGCAATGAATCAGACTCAACATAAAGTATAGCAGGTAATTTTATACTTTGCAAAAATAATTCAGTTTTAGCTCACCAATGAGCTTAGCATGACTTCCACATTTGGTTACTTTAGGTCCAGCTTGCTAGTATAGAAATTTTGACAGAAGTAACTAATTGCAATTTTTTACTATCTTTTCGAAAATATTATCAATGCGCACTGTTTAAATTTTCGATATTATTGGGTGAGCTATAGCTCTACTTACGAGAGTTCAAAGTTGACTTGGCGCTTGTGTATGTGGACGATAAATAAGGCAATGGGTTAAACATTCCGTAAACAAAAATTTATCAACACTCAAACTTTCAAAATTAAATAATCGCAAATCACTTACAAAGGTTCCTGCCAAGAGAAACATTGATTCTAAAAAAATGAGAAACCCTAAAACCACTAATTTGTGAAACATTGATAAAGTTTTTGTGAGACTGAGTCTGGCATTTAGGTATGTAAAAAGACAAGAATTTTTGAGATGCAGTTCTTTTATGTTTTTCTGGGAGGCCGGGTTACACCAGCCGAAGAGAAGGTTCTCTACACAAATTGTAGGGCGAACGGGTAAACACTTCTCTTAGGATGACGAGCCTTAGTTTGAAATATTATTTACTGACGTTACCTTCCGTTGTTGCTACATTGTCTCGAGGTACTGAGTGCTGGAAAGGGCAATGTGGTTTGGTACAACCGGTTGGCTGCATCTCCCAATAGCATGGTATCATTTTCCGGTTTTTCTGAAAATCAACAAGAGAAATCATTAGGGCTGTGCGAATAGTGAATTTTCCGAACGAAGCGAATAGCGAATAATTTCGGCAACTATTCGCGAATAGCGAAGCGAATAACGAATAATTTAAGTTAATTATTCACAGCTACGAATAGTAAAACGATAATTGGAAATGACTTTTTTAAGTGTGAAAATTCGCGAATATTACAAAAGTCGACAGAAAAAATGTGACTAATTTTTAAGAATTTTCCATTTGCTCATATGCCTGCACAGAAAACAATGAAATGCTATGATAGTAGCCTAGGCTGTTAAGAATTTGTTCGAAGATCCCTGGATGCTGGCTTGACTGTCCCTGCAGTTACGTATGCATTTCCAGGATTTGAAGGTAACTGCGCGGGCAGTCAAGCTAGTATCGAAGGATCACTAGACACATTTTAGTATTTTATTTTTTTCACTCTAAATAAAAATGTGTTTATGAACTTTTTTTTTCAATTTCAGAAATTTCTGTGTCTTTCAATCCTTGATTTGGGCTCTTTGCTTATTCCCCTAATCGCAATCGCGCTTGCTGTTCGTAAACTCGGCAAAGTCGGTAAAGATCAAAGGAGATCCGCCGTTCGCGATGTCTCGGGTGGAAGCGGAAGCCTTGCGCAGGTCCTCGCAACGTTTCACGATTGTCACTCGGAAATTCGTTATTATTGATGGCGCGAATATTTGAAAATGTCAGTTCAAAAATTCACTATTTGCAACGGCGCGATTATTCGCAATTTGCGAATAGTGCGCGAGACAGACGAAGCGAATATTCGCCGAAGATTCACAGCGCGCATAGTCGGAATTGCGAATATTCGCACAGCCCTAGAAATCATTGAACTAAAAAGTTAATAGTAATTAGTATACTTTCATTGACATCATGTTGAATTTTCATTTTAATCAGAAATAACCGAGATCGAAGTACGCTTTTTTATTAGGATAACCTTTCCAATGAAAGGGATTTGAAAAAAAGGTTCTTGAAAATTCAGAAAAACTAAATGGACGATTTTTTGGCTAGCTTTGGACCATAGAAGCTCACATTGTAAAAAATTTAATCCATTGTTATTTCATTTTGATTGGGAAAAAAATTGCCATAAAATCCATATCTGAAAAGTGAAGACCGGCAGGTTTCACACCAAATGATTCTTGGGAGAGATAAAGAAAAGAATGAATATACCTTTAGTAGCATGTGTCGGAGATTGCAATGAGAATTGATACATTTTCCCTGCTGCCAGAGATTACACGTTACTTCACAACCTAATGCAGTCGGTTCATGCCTGAACAGGCACTCTGAACCCTGAAAAATAAAGAAAATTAATGAGAAGGGGCAACCAACGACATTTTCACTCAAAAATTGAGTAGCTTATTATAGCTTTTCAAAAACCAAAATGAAGAACTTTACAAGGGTCTCAAATGACTTTAATTAAGAATTTTAGATGAATTTCAATGGAATTCAAAAAAAATTATCTGGAATAAAAGAGAACTTAAGTAAGAAAAAAGAAAAAAAAATTAAGGTCTTAAAAAAGCTTTGAAAGTTTTCTATTATCGTATCCTCCCTTAGTGAAGTAAGTAGTAGAGTGAGTGAAGTAGTAATGCGTAAAAATGAATAAGGTAATAATGGTAAAAAGTGGCCGTCTTCTTAACGGAGACAGCTGCCTTACCTTTGTGCATGTAGAGTAGTAATAGAAGTAGCAGTCATCATTTTTCCGACTTCCACTTTCCATTTTAAATTTATTCTACTTAGCTAGCGTACCTATGAGCAGGAACAAACGAAAAGACCTGAAAATGACCAAAAGAAAAGACTTTATTATCCTATAATAACATTAAAGTTGAGAATCTACTCATTTAAGAAATGCATCCTAGATGAGACAGGGGTAAGACATTTGGATGAAAAATGACATACTTCATTGATAAGTTTTCAAAATTGGTTGAGTCACAGAAATGACAATAGGAACAGATGCTGCTCTGCCTTATGCATGACCAAACTTTTGAATGTCTTTCATTAGGCCGGTGGTTGCATGCTGCCTCAAAAAAATCTACCTCCATCATCAATTCACCACCACCAGTGTTCAAAACTCACCTTTGAGTTTCAGGAGCCATGCGACGCATCAAGCTACTTGGCTATTTATGGGGACCATTGAAGATTTTTTGGGAGCCAGATTGACTTTTTGCCTATAAATCACAGCGCATTCAGTGAACAGTTGGACGCAAGATGTTTTAGTTACAGGACTAGTAACTGTAACTTGGGGGAGATTTCGAAAAATCATGAAACAGAAAAATTAGGATTTTTTTTTTTGGTTTTGGGGGGGGGGGGCAATTTTTAGGGGCCACGTTGGCACAGAGCCTTCATTTTTTAAGCGCCATGACCGATTTCCTAGGGGCAATAGGCGCGTTGGCACCTGTGAGTTTCAAACACTGACCACCACCCTCTCTTTTTTCATTCCTCGCCAGGAGGATAGAGAGTTTTTGGCCTATACATTTCTTGTGACCGCCTTAAAATTGCTGCCTACATAAAACTACTTCCCCATAATATTTTTTGAGGCATTGACCACACAAGACTGCGAATAGTTATTGCATAATAGAGCATGCTTCACTCCTTTCTTTGTAAAAAAGAAGTACGTTACTCACATAGTTTCCTTGGCTAAAAGTAATGGACTCGTTGGTTTCCTTCTAAAAAATAACACATTTAATGGTTTTCCGCATTGAAATGCCTTTTCCCTCTACCTTACTTCCCCATTTTGAGGTGCCTTTACAATCCTCTCAGGATAGGTCAATCGAGCACTTTCAGAATACTTACTTTTTGGCAGCGAAAAGATCATTTTTTCGTCATGAAAATTGAGAAAAATGATCTTGACAGAGTCTATTCACATTAACTTGGATCATTTTATCTCAGAATGCGTACAGCCAAATTTTGTTGGAAACAATAGATGTTAAGAGAAGAATGTAAATTTAGTGTAATACTTACTTGAAATATTCTCCTGAAACAGACAGCTTGAGAAAACTATGTTGTGTGTGAGGTTCTTCAAAACTAATGCTCTTGATTACTCTACAACAATCAGCATTCTCTGGGAAGCAAACTATGATCAAGAGAAAAAAAATAAATCAGTTGACACAGATATTGAAGCAGGAAAAACATAATATTTAATGTTACTCCCAGAAAAAGTGGTTCAGAGTTGGAGCACTAGCAGCTTATTTCAGTAAGTTAAAATGATGAATATCAAAATTAAAGAGGCACTCTGCCAAGACATTCTGAGTAGTGTAAAATAAAAGGTAATCAGTAGAAAAATACTGCATTTCGTCAATGTTCAAAGATCCTGAGTTATTAGAAAAATTTCAATGTGATAGGAGAAAACTGTTGTCATTTTGGAACTTGGCAAGCATACTTACTTCAGGTAAACTTAGAAAATGAATAGATCAATGGGCATATTGCAAACTTTTGCTAGAGCAAAAATAAGTGTTGTTTCCATCAGTAAATGTCTCAAAAATGACAATGAGCGCCTTGACAAAGTCTGAAATGCACTCCTAACTTCACAATCTGCATCAGAAATTTGCATTTTTTTGAGCTTCCCCCTTCAAAAACAATACTACGGTACAGGTGAACATTTAGTTAGAGGTGTCGTTCTTTCCGACCCCTGTCCACTAGGATACTACACGATATTCAACTAGGCCAACACCAATTCGCCAAAACACATGTGCCTGGACGAGATTTCAACAATTTGTTAAAAACCTAGCGTGTTTACATTCACGATTTCTTCACGTTGATAAAGTTCCACTTTGGTTGACCTTGTGCTCCTGATTGCGATTTGCGCGCAGAAGCGTCGGCTATGTTGGGTATTACCGTTGCAAAAGGGTTGGGTGAAACAACTCCTCTAACGAAATGTTCACCTGTGCTGATTTAGAAGCGGGAAGCTCAAAAAAACGCAATTTCTTTACGCAGATTGTGAAGTTAGGAGTGCATTTTAAACTTTGCCAATACGCTCACCATGATTTCTGAGACATTTACTGATAGAAACTACTCTTATTTTTTTGCTATGGCAAAATTTTGCAACAGGCCCATTGTTCAAAAATGCAAATTTGTTAAAAAATGGGGTTCACAGAAAAAATTAAGTTGCTGACTTAACAATTCAATTGCTTAAAAAAGTGACTGCAATGTTTCAATGTAGATTTCACAACACAAAAATACTACTTTGACCACCCCTGTGGTTAAATTAGCTTACAATATGGTTAAGGTAGCATTTTTTTGTTGTAAAATCTCCGTTGAACCATTGCAGTCACTTTTTTTTAGCAATTTCATTGTTAAATCAGCAATTTAATTTTTTCCGTATTCCTTCTAGAAAACCCCATTTGATTTTGGTGATCCTTTCGAACCTCTGGAGATTGAGCGAAAGCAAGATTGTTTCTGCTGGAATTTGCTTTTTCATCACTTCGAATAATTGCACAAGATGCATTGTCAATTACGAAATTTTTCATTAAAATTTATCGAAATAAGCAGCATCCTAGGAAAGGGAGCACTCAATACTAAGAAATTGTGATACAAGTGGCTCCAACCCAGGTAAGGTACGTCAGAGAGATTCCAATGGAGCTGAGAATAATTTTATAGTGAATTTCGATATGCTTTCTGATAAAAAAAGAATAGGAGAAATTATAGCTGACCTATGCTATGAGAATGCTGGATTTTCACTTATTATTTTTGGGGAAACTGGACCGATAAGAGAGATAACTGTGAAATTTCCGCAGTAGTGAATGAAAAATAAGAAAATTACAAACTTTCAAAATTGTTTACTGCTGCAAGAACATACAGCTATCGTTCACCACAGCTATCGTTCACCACGTTTACAGCTGGTTCACCTCCGGATAGGTCGGGTTCCGTTAGAGACTATCAGCTGTAATTTTCTGCCAATGACCAAAGTTTTATTGTTCTTTTTTCTATTTTTTTTTAACTAGCCCTCAAGGGCTAATCCCATCTGTCTGCATCTTTTCGAGGGCTTTTTCCTAACCTTTTAAACTAATAGCCTTATCATATTTTTCCTGAAACAAGTACAGTCCCTAATTTGCTACTATCTACGAGCCGAACTCCTTCCACCTGTAGCACCCGGGTAGGAGTTCACCATCACCTGCTTTAAGTGCCTATATTACCATTTTTTGAATCTTTAGCCTTGAAATAATTTTTTCCAAAAGTCGTTGAATACTATTCTTTTACT